ATAAACTATTAATTACAAAATAACCTACAATTTTTAGAGAGTTTAATACATTTTGTCAACATTTGAACTTTAAATGGTTAATACAGTGTTGGGTAAGTTACTTTTAAAAAGTAATTACGTTACGTTACTCGTTACTTAGAGATAAATGTAATAAAGTTACTTTACTCGTTACTCAAATAAAATTGTAATAAAATTACATTACTTTCTCGTTACAAATTTTTTTTTTTAAATTTCTTAGCAATTATAATTTTACCAAACAATAACATAACTAAGTACATTACCTATAAAAAAAAGGTATGGCTTAAAAATGTACAGTTTATGCATAAGTACATAACACAATTAATTACTTATAGACTTATAGACTAAAGGTAGAAAATCGTATATGGCACTCCATTTTAAGACAAAATTAGCTGTTTATTTATCTATAATGTTCTATACGCGATCTATAGGTTCTATAATACATGGTCGATTTACATGTTATCCAGAAATCGATGAACATATAATACATTATTTAAAAATTAAATTAATACGAATAATACACGATACTACAAAATTAAAAAATGCGAATAGTACCTAGGTATATGGCTATATGTCATTATAAAATGGATAGGTAGTTAATATTGTGGTAACATTTTTGAGGGACGTTTTGACCTCTCTGCTGCATTACATTTTGTCAACATTTTTATTTTAAATGTCTGAAAACTTAATTATTATTATACCTAATATCCGTATTAAATCCAATCTAAATACTACCTACCCATTTAGGCCATATATACAAGGATGTTGTCATTAATGAACAGTGGTGGTATATAGAGTGTCGAAGAAAAAGACGTATTCAATTATTGTTTAAAATGCATTCAACATCGAACTATTTAAATACTTAAAATTATAATATTTCTGATAATATTCGAAATGTTTTTTTTCGCATCTGCCTTAGATTTTGGATTTTCAAAAGTATATTCTTCACAACCCTGTTTGCAGGCCGGTACCAGTATTCGTTCGACAAGCGGATGATACCGGTGTGGACGTTGTATGCGTGTCTGAACGTATACGTGGTACATTACAACTACATAGAAGGCGTGCGGTACGTGGCCGGCTCGTTCCAGACTTGCTTCGAGGAGTCGTACTGCTTCGCGTTGATCGAGCTGCTCAACCGGAACGTGGGACCGTCGTCCAACGTGATGTGCTCCATGTTCTACGGGCGGTGGCATAAGCTGGCCGGGTTGGCGGGCGCCGAGCGGACGCTCCAGTTCCTGTACGACACCCGGGAAGCAGCGTCGCTGGCCAACCGCCGCGACCTGTCCCGGGCCGTCTGGTACGCCGCGCCGGCGTCACTGGCGGTGTACGCCTCGCTATCGCAGTTGTACATGATATTGGTGCCGCCGACCGTGGTGATCGCATACTGGTTCAACGGCATGGGCCAGATGGTCGTCTACATATTGGTGTTTGTGCAATACTACGTGCTGGCCAGCGGGTTCGGCCGCGTCAACGACATGGTCGAGTCGCTGGACGTGGCCCGTGACCCGGCGTCCGCGGGCCGGTCGCTGGCTCGGTTGACCGACGTTTACGACGAGCTGTGCACACTCGCCGGCCACGTAAACCGGGCCTACGCACCCGAGATGCTGCTGCAGTGGGCCTACAACATCGTCCGCGTCATCATGGTCGTGTTCCGACTGCTGGAGATCGTGTCCTCGCTGGATGTTCACGCCTCGTTCACGCCTTATCTGCTGTTCCAGCACTTAGGCGAGCTGTTCATATTCGTGCTGCACACGTCATGCGTGTGCACGGTCGGCGACCGCCTGTCCGCCGAGGTACTGGCCTATATTATGTATTTATAACATTATCGTGTCCCAAAGCTGGACACTAACTAGTTAGACAGTTACTTTTAGAGTAATTTTCTAACTTAAACTAGTTAATTTTAACTTTTAATTCATATTAACTCTGTAACTTAACTAGTTGAATTGAATGTGTAATATAATCGAATTTAACTTGTTAGTAACAATACGTAGGTAACTAGTTCTTTTTTCATTCCAAAAATCCAAATGCTCCGAAAAACTGCTAAAAGCTGCCCAATAGCTAGTGGGAATAGCCATTATCATAATTATATATTATTAACAATGAATAGGTAGGTTATTAAGTATTTTCAATTTTATGATAAAAACATATAGGTACCTAGGTACAACTTGTCATATTATTTCTTATTAACTATTACTTATTAGTATTAGTTACTACTTACTATTACAATACAATACCTACACCTATTATTTTCTTGTAAGACACGTTAATCACGACGCCTTTAATTATAATGTGCAATAGATAAATACATAAGTATTAATATATTGTAGATACCAATATAGTATAAATAGGTAGCATCATACTGTCTGTATATTCTTTATTTTGCTATACATTCAGTGGTCTAATGACTGATATAATATTCGAATTCGTTTCCAAGTTAATTAGTTTTAGTAGGCACCCACTCAAAAGCTGAGACATTTGATCAAATTATCAGTTAGGTTACCAATAATTTAAGTTTGATACCGAGACACGGAGTAATTAATTTATATAATACTTAACAGTTAACATAGGTACCCATTTTGAACAAACTGGTTTCAAATTTTAAAATATTAAAAAAACTGACGTCCTAGGTACCTAGTTCTATGCGCTAGTTGTTAAGTAACTTAAGTTACTATTTTCATCCAACTAACTTAGTATCTTTTAACTAATTTAAGAATTTAGAAAATTTCAGAAACTAACTTATTAACTTCGTTCATTTTTGTATTAAAGTAACTTAACTTTAACTAGTTGAAAAAAGTTACTTGCCCAGCTTTGACGTGTATACGCATATTGTTGTAGGTAGGTAGGTAGGTAGGTACTTATCGAGAGTGCACTGCCGTCGGCAGGGCCAAGTCGAGGAATTTGGTCCACAATTTTGGTACCTATCACAAACTTTCTTGATGTTATAATGCATTTAAAATCTCCCTCTGCTGTCCCTGAAATAACCTCGGTCCTCTGAATTCTGAACACAAAAAGGTGTGTAAAGGCCAAAAGCGTCAACATTTAAAAAAAAATTGTTAAACAAAAAATTAAAACCAATTTTCCAACTCAATTTAAATGATACCTATTAAACGGATTTACTTATATGCATAGTAGGAACAGTTAATAGATTAATAACCCATTAAATTACAGCATGGTTATTTTAAAAGGTAGGTAGTACCTATAAACTCGTATGGTTTGGGGTACAAACAGGCAACATCAAACTCTACGATTTAAAATTGTATTTTCCTGATTGATTCACTATAAAATATAAATCATAATTGCATTAAAATATAGGTAATATCAAGTTATACCTACTCGTAATAGTCGTACTCCTCTATACCTACCAGTGATCTTCAAATACTACCCTCAAGACCGAGATTACTCAAGTACCTAGATAGGTAACACTGAAATAATAGTGTACTGCATAATTTTTATTATCTACTACTTCAGAGTTCAGACTATAATCGTACAATCGATATGTATATATATATATATACTTACCTATACAGCTAGGTATACGTATGACGTTAGGTAGATATTCGATTATATCAGTTTTTAACACAGGTCATAAGAACCTAAAACTTATAAAATCTAACTGTAACTCTATTACATCAGTCGAACAACCACATTCGTGAAGGTAGCCGGCAGGTAGGTACCTAGTTGAAATTATCCGAATTACTATAAACTCCTAAGTCATTAAATCTAGATAGGATTAACTAAAAATTATAATTAATATCAAGAGAATGTTCATTTAATAAAACGAAGTACCTACTTTTTATTCGACTATATTAGTCTAACAAGTTTGAGGTTCTGAGTTTACAATCATGCAGACGTTTTCTTATAATATTCTTGTTTAAATTCCATTTCTATTGCATAAACTCAAACAGCTACAGATGTAACTACGTCTGAAGTTCACTCTTTAGTGCTTAGCAAGCCAAAATTATAAGCATATTGTGTTCTTAAAACTGAATATCGAATAGGTAGTTAAATAAAATAATTATATATATTTTTTTCAGTCCAAAAGAATTTTGGCAAGCCTTGAAAAACTGAAGCTTCGTAACAGATTTAACATGAATATAGAAATTAAAAAAGCGGTTAGTTCAATGACATCTATATTATATATACTTACATAGTAACAATGAGTACCAATAAAAACTCTTCATTCATTATAAAATATAAATTACCTATTATATTATATTTTTTCTGTTTAGGTAAATATTTTTTATGTCCGAGCAAATGCTAGAAACGTTTACGCTTCAATTGGTGGTTTTATTATATTCAACATGAGTCTCATTAAATGTGTAAGTTTAATGAATGGGAATAAATTACATATTTATAACGTAATTTTGACCAATATCTACCTAAGTTTACATTCAGGTGCATTTCATAACCTATTATTTTTTTTTATAGGTGTGTTCTGTCTTAGCTACATATGTATTAGTGTTAATACAATTTAGGGATCAAAAAGGAACTTCAAAACCATTGTATTACAATTGGAATTAAACAATAAAACACAATACTTAAGTCCTACACTTTGTACTAAGCTAACACCTATAGCAATATTATGACATTCAATTAATTTAGCAAAACCACAAAAACTTGATCATTATTGTTTTTGGAACACTTACACAATATTTAAAAATTTAATATTATAACAAACAATTCTAATTTAAACGTTAGTCATCAATTATTTATTAAGTATAGTGGCCAATACGTTTAAATTAAATCAGATAACTAAATAGAATTTTCTTAAAAACGCATGCAATTTGAGCTTAGGCACTACCGCCGAGCTGCCCAAATTGAAAATCAAGGGAATTAAACTCAAACCATTAGCGGCTAGGTCTTTTGTATAGCAAATAAGCTCTGTATAATACAGGAGTTGACTATATCATTTTTAAAGTTCTATTATTACATTGTATAAGATAGACTTATTATGTATAAGGTATAAACAAACAAAGATTGTAATTATTCTTTAATACTTAATATAATTTACCATTCACCATAGCCTTTTATATCATTTATATTACTACCAAAGAATAACACATCTCCGTGATTGGCAATAAACATAGATTTTTCATTTACATATTTTGCCAATTGTTGACGTTTACATATACTCTCAAGAGCTTTGGATTTTTGTTCTTCAAAGTCTTTAATAAAATTTTTATCGTCTGGATTCAAAATAATTGGTTTAGGAGTAGTTGTTTCTTTTTTGGATGATGATTTTATTTCAGTAGAACCAACTGTGGTTGAGCATTGGCGAGTAACACTATCAGCAAACTCTTTCATTTTCTCTTGGAATAAAGGACTTGTCAAATCTTTACAATATTTACTACCAGCAGAACTATTCTCTATCAAGAGATCAACCAAGTTTTGATATTTCTGAGTCAAAACTAACTCCGATTCTTGAACATCAGCATCATTTTCTTCTAACGTTGGGTTGTTGTTTTCTTCAGTCTTATCTTCTGACTTATCATCCTCGTTGATGGGTAATTTATTTTTCTTAGTTTTTTTTTTTGTCTTTTCAGGGTCATCAATATTTTCACAAGTGAGTTCTTTCATTTTTTTCTTTTTTTTCTTTAACTGAATTTCGTCATAAATTGGCATTACAAGTTCTGTATCTTTTAATTGTTTAGCTCTTCGTTTCTTTTTTTTCAGTAGCATTGTATTTATTTCATGTTCTTCAGTTTGGGTTTCTGTTTCTTTGTTGACATTAATTTTTTCCTGCATATTATCATTATTATCAATTATATCAACTTCAACAATTGATGATGTATCTTGTTTATCTTTTTGTAATTTTAAACGTTCTTTTTTAGATTTAAAATATTCTTCCATGTTCAAACCATCTAATATTTGACCATCATCTTTAACACCTTTTCCTAGTATACATGTCAATTCTTCTCTTTTGTATTGTGTCAAATCTTTACCCTTGGTGAATTTGTGGTAACTGAAAAACATAATCAATTATTAATGGAATTAATAAAAATTATCAAACCTAATTCTTTGATAAACATTTTTATTCTTAAATACATACTGAACTCTTGATCTTGAATTCAATGAATTTTGAACAAGTGATTTTTTAGAAGCTGCATCTCCATTTGATTCTGATAATTCTTGATACTGATCAAATTTCTCTGTTAATTGTGATAATAAGCGCGAATATTCTTCGCCTGCTTTGAACCAATCATCTGCATTATTTGCTACAAATCCTAGTCCTATAAAATTATACAAATTATACATATAGTTAGAAATTAAACACACTATATTTGATAATACTCTAAACTTATAAAAATTACTCATGCAATTCGCTAGATATAATTTAATAAATTGAAAACTTGAATGGGTACATTTAACAATTTAGAAAATAATAATGTTATAAAAATAGGTACCTATTGTTATGAATTCTTCTTAATTATAGACCGGTAAATTGAAATAACTAATAAGTAATGAAACAGTTTATTTTTATTTTTTGCTAAGCAAAGTTAGACTAAGAATTTATTTTGTTTTAAAAAAAAATATTTAGAAAACAATCTTGAGGCACAATAAGCATATTATTATTCAATGGCATAACATAATTGTGTACAAAAAAATTAGGGGGAAAAATGTAACTGGCATAAGTGTCCTAAAAACAAAAATCTTTAATGTATGAAAAAATTATTTTTTAAATATTTATTTCAAAAAAAAAATCATAGATTATTTGAAATCAATTATCTAAGCTCACACAATTATAAGCCTTGGGAAAATATTTTTACTATGCAATGTAACTTAATATTGAAATTAATTTAATGTATTAGTTTCATGGATCCGTTTTAACCATAATAACTAGAGCACAGAATTATATGCATTTGCATGTAAGTACATAATGCATGCATGTCAATGGGGGTTTTAAATGTCTTAGGTTCATATTAGGTACACTGAATTCAAATAACAAATCTGGTTTTGCATATTTTGCATATGTGGAGGATTATTGTATATTAGTTCATAAAAGCATATAACATGCATATTTAATGTGTATTTAATGATAAATCAATGTTACTGCAGAACATTAAAACAATAGACCATGTTAATGCATGCATCACGGTAGGTTTTTAAATACTGATTGTCAATTTGTCTTCTTTTTTGAGAGTTCAAGACATGTCATTCAAAATAATATACAACATAAACAGTAGATTTTAGTTTTTTTTAATTTTATAACTTCTAAAATATTACATTTTCATATTTTCATATTTTCAAAAGTTGTTTACTATTTTTATTTTAAATATTTTAATGACAAGTCTAAAAGTTAATATTGTCTATCTTCAAAATAATTTTTTATAGAAAATTTTAGTTCTATTAGTTTGAATGTTTATTGTTAGGTTTACTCGGATTTGTTTGGTTATTTTTATTTTTATTTTCTCTATTCAAAGAGAAATATTCAAATTTTATAATACTGAATAAAATATTTTAATCTATTAAATGTTTGTAACAATTCTAATTATTTGAGTATTTTGGTTTATGATCAAAAGTTTAGTAGTTTAGTAGTTTATTATTATTACAATTTTTGTTATTTTATTTTTTGAAACATATTTTATTAAGTACAAAATAATGCATACGATTGCATATTTAGCCACTTATTGTATGCATATTTGCTTCATAATTGCCAATTTTTGAATGCATAAAATTAAGGGCTCTAGTAATAACTGTAATATGTTCAACGCCTTCAAAGAAAACCAAGGTAAGAGCTTAAAAAGTTAAATTAATACTTTTTTAATAACTAAATCAACTTGGTATTAGACTACTAGATGCCTGGAGGAAGTATAAGCTGAAAATAAAATCTTTAATTAACTACCTGTAGGTTGCACTTTATGTATAACTTTAATGTTTTCTGATATTCCTTGTTTATTTTTTCCAAGACCAGATCCTTTAGACCAACCAAATTTTTCAAGCATCCGCTGACCAAATTTTGAATCATCTGAAAAAAAAACAGGAGTGTTATTGGGTAGGTAATGCAAACGTAGAGATTTAAACAATCTTAGAATAAAAGCGACGTGGAAATGCAATATCTGGCAACAATGGTACGATTTATAACTGTTTTAGAGAAAAATGAAATCGTTTAGTTAAACTTACCACTTGTCCAGTGATTTTGGGCCGACAAATTAATCGTCGTGTCTCTCTCTCTACGTCTACGCCCGAACATGGCTAAATACTTAGTATTGCTTAGTAATTACCACAGTAGCGCTAAGTATTTACCACAGAATAAACAGAAGTGAACAATAATTATAAATAAATAATAATAATTTAATATCTATTATCTATTGTGTTACCACCACGATATAAGAATATGCTATCTTTAATCGTGGTTACCACAATATTATTTTCCTTATCACAGTGGGAAATGCGAAGCGAACGGTGTAGCCAATCCCATCAAAGAAACGATAATTACCGCCGATTGGACTTCCGGAAGGATTGAGCCACACGGTTACCTTTAAACTGTGACAAAATATATTATTAGAATTAGAAAGAAACATAATCCTAGAAGATCTTCTAAGACCGTGAAGGAATAGAAATGTTTTGTCATAGTTAGAACTTCAACTACTCTACAACTACAAGATAAGATCTCCTCAACATCGTGCCACTACTAATTGTATAAACGAAACATTGAACGAATGAATGATTAAACTAGATATGTGACAAATCGGAACCACTATGATCAAAACACGACGTCCGTACCAATGTGCCGAATGCACGGTTACGGATCACTCGCCCTGATCGTCCAATTAATATTATAATATTTTTAAAAAAATCATTCTCCGCAATCGGCGACTTCAATAACTATTTTAAACCGCGCAATATCTAAATCGTCTTTGGCCTTCATCGATCTGTTGGCGGCACTGCGAACCTGGTGTATCTGTTCGCAGTGTCGCCAATAAGATGTCGTCGCGATATCGCCTCGTCGCCGTGTCCTGTCGCCGTCTCGCCGACCGCTCTCTTTCGTTTGGAAATATTGTTTAGCTCGTCCGCGTTCCGACGTTCCGGATTCGGAAAATTTTCAATTTGATCAGCAAGGAAAACACAGGTAAGAATTATTTCGTAAATACTACTGTGAACAATATCGAAGTTGCCTAGGGCGCACACACCTATATTTCTATAGATTTAGTGACTACAACGAAAGTCGAAAAGTCTACCAGAGTTACACATGGCTAACCTCAAAACAAATTGTATATCTGTCGAATCTTAATTTTTTAATTTTCTATATTAATTTATTTGCTAATTAAAATCCTGTTCTCTGGTGTTCGCTAATCTGTTCCAGCAACAGTTTTCTTAGAGGTAAATTATTTGATTTTTCACCTTACGTGGTAGTAGTGCCCTTTCCCCACATTTATAAAAACTATTATTCATTTTATTAATCTCGTTTACTTGTATCTTTTGAGAGGTAAACATTATGGGACCTGTGTGATTATCACGTTTCATTTTTAAGTATGAATTTAAAATAATAATGTTACTATTTAATTTTGGTTACTTTAATATACTCCCATATTTACAGTCACATGAGATCATTTTGTTTGACATTTAGTCAAATCTTTTTTTGTATTCTAAATGATTTTTAATTTTTAGAATCATCATGGCTGACGAAGACTGGGGAGATGTCGGAGCTACTAATGTAGATATTGCTCCAACACAAATTGCAGCTGAATTACCAGAAGTGAAATTATTTGGCAGATGGAGTTGTGATGATGTAGAAGTTTCTGATATGTCTTTGCAAGTAAGATAAAATCAAATTTAATTTAACTACTTACTTCTTTTTAATGAATTGTATTATAACATAATATTATTTAGTTGGGTAAGGTTCATATTTAAGTTATAATTGAGTAAATACTTGACATTATAAAAACATTTACATTTTTATAGGATTACATTGCTGTCAAAGAAAAGTACGCCAAATATGTTCCTCACTCTGCTGGTCGTTATGCTGCTAAACGTTTCCGTAAGGCTCAATGCCCCATTGTTGAACGTTTGACCAACTCTTTGATGATGCACGGACGTAATAACGGAAAGAAACTGATGGCCGTTCGCATTGTTAAACACGCTTTTGAAATTATCTACCTTTTATCTGGTGAAAATCCATTGCAAGTGCTTGTAAAAGCCATCATTAACAGTGGACCCAGAGAAGACTCCACACGTATTGGTAGAGCTGGTACAGTCAGGCGTCAAGCTGTTGATGTTTCCCCATTGAGACGTGTTAACCAAGCTATTTGGTTGTTGTGTACGGGATCCCGAGAAGCTGCGTTTAGAAATATCAAAACAATTGCTGAATGTTTAGCTGATGAATTGATCAATGCTGCTAAGGTCAGTTACAAATATTCCTTGTTGAATTAAATTAATTGAATATTATAAATTAATGGGATTATTTTTGCTTTTATAGGGATCATCGAATTCTTACGCTATCAAGAAGAAGGACGAACTCGAACGTGTGGCCAAGTCTAACCGTTAATTTCCATCTATTATTTCATTTACTTTAAATATACATTGTATATTTGAACTAAAACAATAAGTTTTTATTTTTTTTATTAAAAAATGTTTTTATTATACACTTCCTTAATTCCTTGAACATTTCTCTGAACGTATTATGATAGATTTGGTATTGATGTGATAAATTGGTATCAAGATAATTTTGTGTTTATAATAACACTGCATTACTCATCTCAATTTCATACTAAGTTTCTGATTTTGTGTTGCTTTAAATTATATTTTTTTTACCATTGTTGTAAAGTTTGAATTGGAATATTTATAATGGTATTTATAAACCCTTATCTGAAGTGTACTACTTGATAACTGTTACGAAAAATGTTATACTCTAATACAAAACTGCAATTATGTTGTGACGTGCAAATTCAATACTAGTTTCACTAGTGTGTAAATATTGTCTTCTGATAAACCACTGAATAATCGTATACGCAGTTACAATGTTTTTGAATCATTTAACGGTTGATGCTCGATAGTATTATAAATGTAAGTGCATTGCAGTCAAGATGCTTTTTTATTCATGCCTGGATTCTCTTTTTCTGATAACATATCTTAGCCATAATTGAAAATCGCATAAAATATACATATATACAAGTTCTTAAGAATTTAAATAATAACTTAATAATATTAAATCCATTTTATTGTTTTGGCAACAATTTTGTGATTCAGGATTTGAAATTGCAGTTAAACATAAAAAAATTATTAAAATGTGTCATGCTGTAATTTATAACATAGAAACAAAATTGTAATCGCATAACATTTTCATGGATGACTAGAACGTATAACATTTTGAATAAGTAATATGTAAGTGTCGTTTAAAAAACTTACATCATTTTTAAAATAAATTAAAATTATCTTCTTTTATATTGACAAATACTTGGGCACTAAAATAAATCTGATAAATATATTAAATAATTAAACCTATAGCCTATCATGCCTCAGTGGAAAACAGTTAGCTTTGGTGACGCCTCTTACAGGCTAACAAAGTCACACCCATGCAAAAATTGGCCACCGAGGTACTGTCCTGTTTTAGACAGGCTACATTCTGTAACTGATAGTCTAAACTCATGTTATTTTAATGGAGTTGAACTGCAAAATAATGTAAAACGAGGTAAAGATAATCAATGCAAATTGTGGTCAACACTTTTAATGGCAACGGTATTATATTATATTTTCGCAAATGTCTGTATATTTTTAAATTTTAAAAATATTCTTGAACATATAAAAAAAAATATATCTATATTCATAATAATGTGTAACTAAGTATTATTTTGTTCTAGACTAAAATAAAATCAGAACAAATTCTTAAGTAGTAACAAATGGTAACGCTTAGTTAATTATTTTAGGTTATAACAAATTGATATCACAGGAAAATATTATTCCGCTGCGTCGTCTGTCATCTTTTGAGTTCGAGGATGATCTGTTGTAGGAATATCAGTGGATTTTGTCTGAATTTGTTTTTCGTGAAACTCCTGAATAACCAAAAAATAAATGTTATCCAAAATTATAATTATACATACAGAATTTTGCTGTTTATATAACTTGAGAACAGTGGCAAGATTACCATAAGTGAAACTAGAATATTTTTATTAAAGATAAGATATAAGACAAGCCAAATGATAAACATGAAAATTCTATTAAGTCAATATTAGGCCGGGCCATGGCCTGATTGGCCAGACCCATAGTTTGCCTATGAAGATAACTGTACATTATTAATGGTCACTAATGCAAAGTACTACAATTAATCAAATACTTATGTCATAAAAATTATTTGAGAAAACACATACTATGGAATACTTACTAAAATGTAAATAATGAAAAATACAAATTTAACCATTTATCAACAAATTGTTTAATGAACTGCTCAATTTTAATTTCAAATTTTCTATTGTCATATTTGTTTATACAAAATGAAATTATGCACAGAATAAAACTATTTTTCTTTACTATCCATCGTTAATATTTATATTTTCTCATTAAAATGATGCCATGGGTTGTCTCCATCTTACAAACATACAACATGGCAAATTTTAGTTCACAATAATTAATTTTAGTCTGTAAATTCTAAAATTAATGGATTGACCTGTTATAAAATTTAAACGAAATATTATTTAGAGCATCTGGGAGACTATTATTGATATTTTTATTAAGAAACAAGTTAACCAATTTGAAAATTACTATAATTTACTTCAAAATAAAATCAATAAGATCATGTGAAATACCCTGGATAATAATCTCACCTTTAAATTTTATCATATTCACTCTAATTTCAAAAATAACAATGTAAAATGGATTATTGTAACATAAAATTTGCTGTTTGCAAGACTGAGACAACATATGTGAGTGTAGTTTCCTTCTCTCAAGATGTAAAATAAGTTACTATTTATTTAGATGATGATAATAACCAATCTAATTAAATAATCACCTGAAAACAAGGAACCAGGCAAAGGTTTATATTGCATTCGGGGCATTGATATTTGGTTTTGCGTCTCAAGAACCTTCCACGGGTGTCTATTGTGTTCCAACAGAAACTGCATCCAAGTGCCGGTCCCGAACGTAACAATGGGCAGTGGTCAGATCGTGTTGATCCATTATAAGAATCAGTTGTGTTTACCTATAATGCAGTTTAATATTGTCTAGTAACTCAATAACTACCATTGCATTCACAATAATATGGTAATATGTTTGACAAATAATATTTGTATAAAATGTATAGATTACCTGTGATGCGCTAGTGGGCAATTCATCATTGAAGAGGCCTCTAGCCATTAGACTAGGTTCAGATGGCTGAGAAATTTGTTTGACTATGGTTGGTTTAGGAACAGCTAGTGTGTTGGTTGATGATGGATTTGGCTCTGAACACTGCCTCTCTAGCACTCGGATTACAGGTTCAGATTCATCATTTGTTTCGTTTATTACCATTGATGTATCTGTACTCATGTCACTATCATTGATTTTTATATGGGGTTGACGTACTAGAGTCCTAATTCGTTTATTAACTGGAAAATTAAAATATCCATTTTTAATATTTAATTTATAGCACTTAATTTTATTTATCATTATTATCAATGTTTAATAAATTCAAGGTAAATAAACACAACAAAAATACAAAATACAATAGTTATATTTCGATATACATTACATTTAAAAATAGTTTTGTTATACAAATCAAATTAAACCTAATAATATATTATAATAATTGTAATTTCTATACAAATAAATAATTTAAGATTAACACCAGATTGCACAATCATCTGTTTCAAAGGGGTTTAACGAGTCATTAAATACTTAACAATCCCTTAAACATAAAAAAAATGAACTGTGATGGATGTGTCATCAAATATTAATGAACCGTCAAATTATAAATATAAACTATTTGTGCAAACCAGCATGAGTGAAATTAATAACTAAAATAAAAGGAAACAAAATAAAAATATGATTTGTTAATAAATAAATCAATAATTTATGTATGGTTGTCTGTTGAAAATATTGAAGGTGCGGGTGAAGAATAATAGCACGGGTTAATCACTGTCAGAGGCTGCGAATACATTTGTGAAACATAAGCAGGATGATCAACTGCCGACGTTTGAGATGTTGAAGGTTCATAAAGTGGTGCTTGATACACTTGCTCGGATGATTGACCATTGATTGAAGATGCTGGCGAGGGTACTGGAATAGACGAGGAAGACTGACCTTTTCGATGAACAGGATAACCTTTCTTTTTGTACTCGAGCCACAAGGTACGGTTATTTATCCCATACTCTTGAGCAGCACGACAAAATCCCATACGGCCCACACGTACAGCTTCAAGAGCTTCCTTAAAACGATCACTCTCCCGAATACCGGGTTCTCGTTTTTTGCGAACTTTATTCTCTGGTTTGGATACTGCTTTGGCTTTGGGTATGGCGTAGACACTGTGAGGCGGGCAATCAGAGAGCTGCTCCAAAAACGACCAACCTGTTAGCAAATGTTGTAATTTGTAATAAAAATTTCTGGTAAATAAGATATTTAAAATGGAAAGAAAAGAAGACACAAAAATTAAATTTTCAAGAAGAAATACATTTAAAGACATATTTTATTATGCAATTAAGCAACTCATTAAAGTGAGCATTTACAGGTTGAACGTTTTTGAAACTATTCACTCATCTAAATAGTTACTCATATTTTGGATTCGCTTAGCAAAAATAATCATTATCCTACAAAACTGTATAATAAATGAAAAAGAACATGCTTATGTACATTCAATTTTAAGATATAAATAATACTTTCATTAAAATGTTGAACTAAATACAAAACAGAATCAAAATTTACAAAAATAAATTGTGTATTAAACTTAAACTAATTTATAAACAGTAAATAAGTACCAAACTACAAAAGTATTGTTATTAATAATGACTTAAACATACCTTCAGGTTTATGGTGAACAATTGTTGTATGGTTATCTGTAGACGATTGTTTGCTTACACTACTAATAGGTTTTGATGCTTCTTGTCCTTGTGATGTAGGTTGAGATCTCTGTAGAAAATAAATAAAAAATACACGTTAATGTATGCTTACAAAATCTATTAATTTTATTTTAATAAATTCATACAGTTGACATATTATCTTGTTCAGTTACTGATATATCTTCGATAGAACTGTTGTGTTCAGATTTATCACTGGATGTTTTCATGAGATGCATTTTTTTTCGTTTTGCTGTGGGTGACAACAAACTATATTCAGTTTCTGCGTGTCGTGTTGTAGCAAATGGAAACATGGTTTTCTCTGTCAATCCTTTTATTTGTAAGCTTTCAGCTGCCTTAGAATATTTTAATGATTAGTATATAATTAATACAATACAATACAATGCAATAAATAAAATACAATTTACTTTTAAAATAATTGGGAGTTGATCTTGAGAGATGTTAACTTCACCATAGTACATAAACTCAATTAATGTTTTTAAATGATTATAAGACATGTCTTTGATGATGATTATTGGATGTTGACAAGGTGTTTCATTGAAAAGCATCTATAACAGTCAATACACATTTGGTATAAAGATATAATTTTTACAACACAAGTTCAGATGAAATTGATAGTTTGTGTTTGAAATAAGTTGTTAAATAGATTTAAAACAAATCATTAGGAAGAAGTTCTGTATTGGTAATAATAATTAGGATAAATTTATAAATCTTCATCCTATTGAACTGATAGATCTGATGACGAATTTATGATATTGAAAACTGACTTAAAGGTACATTTATTTTGGATCCAACAAACAATTTTATCTGTTAATTCATCTGAAGACAAGGCCGGGAATCTTTTTCGTCTTATTTTATTTGTCAGTAAGTTGTAATGAAAAGAGGTACTTTTAGCAGGAACTCCTATTTGAATCCCATTAAAATTGTTCACACACTTATTGTACCAAAATACCTAATACTTTGCATTTTTTTCTTTTTGTAGCCAAACTGTTCAAAGCATAACTTTTACAACATTTACCAATTGTTAATATCATTTCTTCTGACTTCTATATTTACTCATAAACAATTTATATTTTAAGTCATAAACATATAGCTAGGAAACAGTTAATAATGCAATAATAAAAAAATTATGTACAATATTTAGTGAAATATATAAATGTAAAATAAAAATAGGTACGCATTCAAATATTTGTTGTTTATTAAACTCAGAATAAAAATAATAATATATTTTCATATTGTATGATTTCTGGTTATAATAAATTCATTAATTTTAAGCTTGCATTTATTTATCTGCTCACAATTGCATACCTATTGGTAACATGTTCAGCACACTTGCAATATATAACTTTTCCATCATTTCAAAACATATTTAAATATTTGGATATCATATAAATTATCATAGGTACCTGCATTTCTAAATTGGGAAATTCTAAACAATTTTTAAAAAAAAATTATTTAATTTCTATATTTAATGTATGAAGCAAAAAAAAAATTGATGCGTGATAGTGAAAAACAAAAAAAGTGAAAAAAAATGTAAAAAAACGTCTCATTGAAAAATCACCCCTACATATACAAATAAGAATATTATGTATTTAAGAATGTAAAAATATGAACATTTATATTGGCTCCAACTTACTTAGAAATTTGTGTAACATAATATAACATACGTAAAAATATGTAAAATTACAATAAAATCTATTCCCTACTTACAACCAGTTTAAGTTAATAAAAGGTGAATACAAATAGTTTCTTTAATATTTTTATTTTTTACTAAAAACTGTAGGTATCCTCTTCCTTCCCCAGGGTAACTATGCATTAATACCCTAGCAAATGTTACAATGTGTTATGTTAGGGGATATGTTTACCTATCTTAAGTAATTTGGCTACAAAATGAGAAATTCAAGTAGGTCTCTATGTTTCAATATAGGTATTTGTATGACATGTAGGTCGGAGATAATAAATGTCATGCAAACATCTTCAAGAGAATCCTTAATTGATAATAAATCTATATCATCTCGAAAAGGAAATATAAACTAATAATAGGTATAGATAAATCGCTTACATACCATAACATATAATAGTAGGTAGGTAGGTACCTATACGTGATCAATTAACATTTAGATAATCTTAACATAGTATCTGATAGTAATAAAAAGTAGTTATCATTGAAAAAAAAATAACAATATTATATAATATAAATATATACAATATTATATTATAGTATATTGAATACATGTTTGAATAGAATTTCTTATCAGCTGATTTTACTTAGAACATTTATCTCTTAATGATATAATGATATGTTTTGTTTGTAGTTCCTCTATAATAATATATCAATGCATTAATTATTAAAATAATTGAATATGATTTATAATATAAATAATTAAAAATATAATAATGTAATAATTAAATCATATTTTAATTAGATATAATATAAGACACTTTTATAAGCATATCTACCTATGTAGCAACTACTATAGGTACATGGTTATAATAGTGATATTATTACTGTATCAAAGATTAATTGCTGCATGAAAGCTTAAAAATGTACCTGATTGTTTATCGCACTACAGTGTACCCTTAATTAATTAATTAATCATTAGTAGAGATTCTTATATATTTTTGTTACTATCTGTTTAGAGTAGGTAATAATAAATTATGTTATTTACCGACGATTTAATTCAACTATTATAGTGATTGAGCCGCACTGTAGTAAATACCAAACACTCGTATAATATAGTATTGGTTGGTTTGACCTGAAGAAGTACCAATAACGTTTACAAAATTAATAACCCGTCCATTTAGCATAATCTTATAAGACATCATAAGCGGGCCGCCCGGTGCGATAGAAATGTTGATCATCGATAACAAACATTTCACATGGAACACTGACAATGGACGACCAACCCCAGGGGACATATATTTACAAGTCACTGGTTTAGATGATATCATCAGCGAGAAATTGAAACAACTTTACAGATAGCTTGCCACTGATGGGTGGGATTTTCATTAGAGGATTTTGGATCTTACTTGAAAATAGCTGCTGCATGCAGACAGCACGACTTTGTGCACTTGTATTTTCCGGCCTTCGGCGGCGATGGTGGCGTCCACGAACATCTCACTGTTCAACAGGCCCGTCATGACGTTCACCAGGTTAGGCTGGTGGTTGTTCCACCGCAAACAGAACCTCTGATCGGCCATTGTTTGAACCTGCAGATCCGCCAGACGCGAAACGGACGGACAGCCGAACAAACAAAACAAACAAACGCACGCGATAATAATAACGACAACATGCTGTATGCTAGATGGTCGTCGGTGTTGTTATTAAACATTAGTGGGGGACTACTATAATAATTATAGGCGGGCAGCTGGTGAGTTACAACGGGCATTTCACGTCTATGGTAGGTACTTGCCATAATAATATGTGTTATTGTTATGACTTATGATTATTATTGTATTTCGTGGGACCGAGACGGGGATTTTGCGAGAGGCGACGAGCTAATATAGTAATTGTATACTGCACTCGCACTCACCTTATAGGACTTGGGGACACTTGTGCGTCACAAACGGAAACGTTTGAGCGACCACGGCAGCCAGTATGGGTGGGCAAGCAGCCTTCAGGTGGTCGTCGTTTCGCGTAGTGTGGCGAGGAAGACCCGGAACGGAGAAGACGACGGCGGAATCGGAGACGGCTTGCGGACGGGCCGGCAAATACACGGCAGTCGACAACACAAGAGCGGCAGAGACTATGGAGCAGTGGCGCGCGCGCGAGAAACGAGAAACGGATTACGGAAAACAACACCGCCGTTCGTCGTACCCGCGAGAAGAAAATATCTTTTCTCTCTTCTTGCTCGTTTCCGACTTTGTTTTCTCTCTTTTCTCCCCTGCGTTAATAAATAACTTTTTTATTTATAAATAAACAATTCATTATTATGATAAAATCGCGACCCGTGACGTCAATCGCCGCGCAAAATCGCGTTGGTCACACCGGGCCCCCGGCCCGCCGACCACCGGACGCACTGCCTACCGATCGACCCACCCCACACCGCGGGCCCGTCGGACGACCACCCGTCGGACAGGGATCGCGTTACAGTCGGTGCCATAAAAATAATAAATGCGACGTACATATTATTATTATTATGAATAATAATAATAATAATACGTATAAAATATAAATTACAACACGACGCCGTGTTTAGCCGTGTATTTACCGGCTGTTAATATCATTATTATTATTATTATTATTCGAACGCCGTAATAATTTCTCCGTCCGCACACCGCACCGCGGCCGCCATCGTAGTAACTTGTGTTGTTTTGGTACGCAGTACGCGCGCATTGTCCAATAGTGCAGTGACGCCAGTCGCCAGTGAGTGCACCACAAGTCACAACTGACTGTTTTGTCATGACGCGTACCCATGATAAAATTGTTGTCGGAGGAGAATATTATTATTATTATTATTATTATAATGTCACATTTTTATAGTTTGTACGACGCCAATATTCTACGATATACTCGCGTCGTTCCACGACGTGCACGCGATTTGATTTCAATTTTTTTTTTTTCATTTTCACATTTTAATTTCTCTTTTTGATTTTATACTAACTTAATTTTTAACTCGTCCACAGAGACGTTTTATGGTTTTTTTTTTTTTTCGTTATTTTCTATGCGCCGCGGCCGCGCTCGTTCCAACTCACTGGTAAGTATTCTTAAAAAAAAAATAGTTCAATTATTATTATTGTCCATATCGATATTATAACATTATTATTATGTACCTACCTTGTTTTATTACTGTGCCAACGATTATTCTAGATAATTCGTACGTATACAATTGCGTGCACACGTGTGGTCTTAAATTGTGTCGTTAAACATTGCTTCGCTGTGTGTTTGCATTTGATAAACGATATATATATTTTTTTGCGGTCATACGACCTACGCATTTCTCGAACAACCTCAAGGTCGGTCGTAATAACTACCTGGGACTCGAATTATTCATATTTTGTTTTAACTTTTTTCCATTGCTTTACGTATTGCTATGAAGTTCCATAATCATTAAATCTGTAGTGTATTTCAACTATTTGAATTAATATTTAAGATAATGTCAGATTACTGTTTGCTTAGTCTCTCTCGTCCATGCACGGGTGTACGACATACCAAATTTACATTTAGTAGATTAGCAGAAACAACCCTGTGTTGTTCCATATTGTATTGTTGAAGTGAATTCACCTATTATCAAGCTTTAAGTGAAGTTCATTACCCTTGTTGTTACATTGGCTAATTTATAATATTTCAATTTTTATGTAAGTTATGAGCCTGTAAATTGTTGTAATTTAAAAATGGTTTTAAATTGCATAAAAATGCAACATAGCGACACAGGTTATGTTCGGAACTTACAATTTAATAATAAGTGAATTCTTTCCAATGTTAAAAGTTACAAAACAAAGAAAGTTCTGCTAAACGTAAATTTGATATGTCCAGAGAGTGAGAAAACAAATGGTTAGCTGACATCCTCTAACCATTTTACGTTTGTTTTTGGTGTTTCAGTTTGATTAGTATTTGTTGGTCTCTGATTTATCATTTCGTATCGAGTAAAAGTTGTTTTGGAAACACACATTGAACTTATCTCTTGCTGTTGTATAGCTGCATCACGGTCGACAAATACCCAGCTACTACTTCTTCTGCAGTACTGCTACTACTAGGATTACCGCTACAATACTACTACTACTACAACAACACTTCTACAGTCTGTGAGAAAGCAAACATTAAGAAATCCTAGTTAATTTTATTTGGACATATACACTTGCCAAATTGGGCATTTAGTCATCACCATTTAATGCTCAGGATACACAAAGCTTGATAAGACGGCTTAGATAATAAATAATACCAATTAAGACAAATAAGGTAATTAACATACTATATCATCTACATTCTTTATAATATGATACAAAGATTTTAAGCTTTTCCCAATGAAATACTTAATATTAAATACAGCGTCCCTATTTTAAATATTTAGTTTAGGTATATACTATATGTTTTGAACTAAGAAACTATATTTGGTAAACATTAGTTTTTTAGTTTGTATTTTAATGGTTCCCTATTATTAATATTATCTCCTTATTCAATTTATAATATACCTTGAGATACCTCTAATCTATGCTAGGTGTTTCAAAAACAACATTAGTACCTACATAATGAAGTGATAATTACAAATTATATAATTATCGCTATACAATTTTATTTTGGTTATTTGTAACTGATAATTATTATTTTAAAAATTAAAAAAAAATTGAAAATTACTGACCATTCATCGGATCTAGTTCTTTCAAGTATTGCAGTTCAATATATTACACATTAATAAGTTATAACCCATTCTACTGTTCTACATCGAATTGAAGTGAATGGAGTCTAATATCAATATTTTATAGGTATAATATTAATATAAACAATATATTTTAATCATTTTATACAATATTAGAACCTACTTAATAAAGTAATAACTATAAATTATATATATTATTATTGCTCTAAAAAGTATTTGGTTACTACTTGTATGAAAACGACCAACCTTTTATCGGGGTCTAGTTCTTTCAAGCCTTTAAATTCAATTTAATGCCATTAATAACCAATAATTCTTCTGCTCTACATCAAATTGAAGTGAATAGAAACTTATTTCAAAATTTGAATGTAGGTAATTTATTTAAAACAATTTACACAAATATGACTCGCTACCTTGCTTATTAAATCTAGATAGGTACATCAACATTTTTAGAAAATCAAACATAAATGTTGCGCTAGTGATTTTCAAGCATTCTTTAGATTGAAGATCTGATGTATTAAGCAAATAGTTTCTATCTATGTACAAGCTAATTCGGTTCATAGATACGTTAAGATACGCATAGATACATACTTTATTATAATATAAAATTAATGATACAGAATACTGTACATTATATGAATTTGTTTGTGGGTATATAAATTGTATATGCTACTTGACTTTTCAAAATTATTTTTAGTCTAATATAATATTAAAAATATTTTTTACTTGTTGTTAAGTATAATACATCTTAGTATTAGGTATTGGGTAATTATCTCACCATAATGACTGAAATTCTGTAAATAAAAATTGGCCATACATACTCAGCTATTGTCCTGTGCCATTAATGAATCAACTGTGGTATTGATGTATATAATATGTTGATTTGAAGTATTTACTCTAGTTATTTACTTGGTAAAAATTTGTTACCACTGACCTTTAATCGTTAATCTGCACACATATTAAAGTATATTAAGTATGCTGAACAATTTAAGACTTATACTGAGTATTAAAATAAACAAACAAAAGTTATACAATTATCTTAGTCAATTTAAAATAAGAATACAAGTTATTTTTATACTTCCAGCTGTTTCATTTCAACTTTTTTTTGCTCTATTCAAAATGTGTTAAGTCAGTATTAGCTCATAGTGTTCTCATTTGGTCTTACATTATTGATTTAGAATACCTATCAATACTTTCTCTAATTTTTATTCCCTAGATTTCATCTTTTAACCTACAGTAATTAATGCTAGTTATTGAAAGTACTATAATATTATACCTAATTCAAGTGTTTGATTATTTTTAAGGTCATAAACAAATGTTATCAAGAAATGTAATTTAAGCATTAGGAGGTTATGTATATAGGATGTGGGCGTATTATGGTTATGAATTATGATACTAAAATACTTTGTTTTTTGTCCACATTGTAGTAGAATAATTGTTGTTGAATATTGAACTTGATAGTTAAATTGTAAATATATCATTGATAATTGCATCGTTGATTTCCATTCTACACTCATTTTGTACATTATGTCATACAATTTTTTTTCAATAGGCAGGTAGTTTAATTTTTAGTAATTATTTTATCAGTTAAAAATGATTTTATCTGAACTACTTGTATTAAATTAAAACTAAGGCTCAGAGTTCTCAACTTTCTACTGATGCTATGATATTATTACAAATTAATATTTTTTATAATAAAATTGGCATCACAGCAAAACAATAAAATAATGAAACGTCAAACCAAAATATTTTCAGATATCATAAGTCAAGCGTATAATAATATGTTATATGATTGCACCGTTAAAAAAATAAATATACTCCGATACTCGTATTTCGCATCTGAATATCGCCTCACGCGCTGAAGGTTGAAGCAGTGCAGGCGTCGAGTTCTTGCAGCAGTTCGAGTATCAATTGGAGGCTAAACCATCAGACACTCGTGTAGTTTGTAATTTTTAGAAGTTGAAGTGGCATTTCCCTTTATACATTTTGAATTAAATTATGTTGATTGTTAAAAGTACCTAGGCTTTAAATAAAGAACGGACTCATCTACAGAATATTGACATATACAATACTGACTCTCCGATCGATAATGTGGTAACTGGTAATCGACGTACCACTTAAATTGTGACACCCGTCGTCACTAGGTTCTAATAAATAATTTCAGTTAAGCTTAAGACTGCAGACGCCGCCGCCGTATTAGAGACAATACGCACGACGTAGTTGACATACCGACTACGCGCGGTCGGTGATATCGTTATTTAAACTAAAATTGAAATAGTTAATGATAAACTAAATGTGTCCTGAAAATTCTTCAATTTATAGGTACTTGATATTGGCTACTATTAAACATTTTTATGTTTTTAGTTTTTTTTTTTTTTTATTATTAATTTGTTTTGATTTTAGATAGATTAGATTAATGCTCAATAATCTAAATAAATAAACCAAATAATAAAGTTGCATTTAATATGACACTATTAAGGCCAGTTGTACCGTCTACGTTACACTTCGATTACGCTTAATCAGCTGATAACAGATTTTATAATCGGCCAAATCTGGCCGATTAAACTTCGGTTAACTTTAATCGGAGATGGTACAACTGGCCCTTATAAACGCATAAAAATACTCTTCTACTATTATAATCATGTAGGTATTGACAAAATATCGTCAATACTAGAAGTATTTGATTGTAAGTAAAAAAAAAAAAAAAATGAACCACAAAAATATACATAATTAAGATTAACATCAGTACTATTACTACTGTACGACATTTCATAATGGGTTATAATTTAGTATAATAGTTATTATAGGCTATACAGTGAAACTTCCATGTAACGAACTTTCCTTATTTTAACAAAATATTTTTGAGAAACTAATTTATTAACTTATATTTAACGACATTTTCTATAGGTAATACGTTTTTTTTTTTTTGTAGTTATCTACCCCATGAGATTTCATATGATGGAAGTTTCACTGTATTATTACAGCCAAGACTGATGTATTGACATCACCAAAATGTATTTTATTCATTACCTATGACAATATTATAGTTAGGTGATTATCGTAATTGTATTTTAACGACGAATATTACAATTTGAAATAGTCTACTACAATATTACACAATCTTATCTTAGAAATACTATGTTTGTATTGCTTCGATATGGTGCAAATTGTTTAAGTATTGTTACTCTAAGTCTAATGATCTACCTACTCATTAGTTAAGTGCTCGAGGATGTAATATTTGTGTTACTTCGTTATTGAGAAATAAATCATTGCAAATCAATTATTGTTATAAATTAAGGATTTGTTCGTGTTATTCTTAGGAGATAAAAACTGCAGTCTATTCTGTTTATTAAATCTTATTGATTATGAATACTTGATAGATTTGTTCACGTTATGGTACACTGACATATTTGATCTACCAACGTTCGACCAATATTAATTTTAATAATTATAAAGAAGACTCCTAGCGATTAAATTATTTGTATAGACCCAGTTTATTAGAAAAAATATGTACTATGATTTATGAATTATTATCAGCCAGTGCGGTGGTTAAGAAGATCGACTGTTGATGACGGCTAAAATCTGACGTCCCGCATTGTAATTAAGTAAAGGGAGGACGGTCCATATTAAAATAAAATCGAAATCCATTGAGGTACTTGTCCCACGTTTAATCATAAACCGAGCTACTTCGATACTACCTTAACAAAAATTATAGCAACACAATTAAGTATAAGTCATCATCTAATTTTAGTAATTAGGGAAAATTAATTGGAATGTAAAATTTCTGAAATATACCAACTATAATAAACAAAAGCGGGTAAGTGGATGTCGCTCTGCAGTATAGTAGGTTACAATAAAATTTGACTTCTAATAAAGATAATTAGGATGAACATACTAACCTTTTTTTTTTTGGGACTCAATTCACCTAGTACCTTTTTTCCCCCGGTATTAAACTTGCCGAGATATGGTAATTTGGGACCCAATTTACCAATCCCGTATGATTATTAACCCACTGTAATGGATAGTGTTAAATTTGAATATAAAATCATTGTCTACGAAAACGGTTCTGAGCAAAGTTGTCAGCGTATGATATTACTTAATATATTTTATATTATTATGATTCAAGTAATTTATTTTACTATAGTAATTAGTACTACAGTAGGTTAACTTCATTTTTGCTAAAAAATAAATCACATTTTAAAATTCCGTTGTCTGTATAAAATATAATAGTATACTCTAACATTTTCATACGCCTATAAGTAATTTTAAATTACAACAATTTAACAATACATTGTGATTAAAACCGTTATTTTTCGTGTTAATATGTAACTGTCCAAATTTGAACTTATAACTATTAAAAAAATTATGTCTGTATTTTTATTATTTTTCAACTCCTATTGCAACAATATATCAGAACTCTTGTATTCAATTGTCAAGCTTTTTGAACCTATAAACAACATTTTATTGACATTTATAGAAAAAAAAACTAGAAAAATTGTAAATGTCCATTAACAGTTTTAAATATATTGAAAATGTTCACAATTTTAGGATAAAATAAGCATGGTGTAAATTTCAATTATCTGTA